TATCGAAATGAAGTTGTAGCATATGACATGTACAAAATCTAGGATGTTTTAAACAACAATACGGAAACGTGGAAAGACTTAAAAATGCAACCTTCCCACCGCAACGCTTGATAAAGTCATAATAAACAGTAAAATATATCGGGAACTTTTTGTATCGAAAAATAAAATGCGAGCTGATGAAAACATCCTAGATTTTGAACATGTCCTATGCTATAACTTCATTTCGATACATGATAAAGTCGATAAAGGCAAGAACGGGAAATTAAAAACGCCAAAAGTATACTTAAAACATGCCATTATATACTATCAGATGCCTATACACTTTTACCAGTTAAGTAAGGTCAACAAAAGCATCATATGCAATTTTTTTTTTCTTTTCTTGATGCACGTTTTTTTTAGAAAATCATTATGAGAACTTCTAATAATATAAAACCGTCACGCTGTTTGAAAAACAAATTTTGACGTTAATACAATTTATATCTATTTTTTATTGAATACTGCAGAGAGATGGTTTAAGATCTTTGTGTCAGTAGCGTAGGGGTCGGATAACTAGCATTTTGTATTTAAATAAAATTGACATTTGCTTATATAAAAGACCTTTTATCAAGTTATAGGAAAGGTAAAAACTAGGACATGAAAGTTACATCTAAACTTGAGATATTAAGCAATGACACATTGAAAGACCTTAGTTCTCTACTATATATTGTTAATAAGTTATACTACCATACATCTTATTTTCAACATTCTAGGGGAGAAAACTCTTAGTTAAAGTAATCGTATCACTTCGAAGAAAAACTTTCCCGTTACTATATATCGCAACTAACAATTTAGTTGAAATCGTTTGTCGATACATATTACAGTTTCTTAGTAGTAGCATGCACAAGCAAAAAAAAAAAAAAAAACCAAAAGATGACCTTGACCTTTGACGTTGACCTCATTTTCATTTTGATAGACTCTGGACCTTATTTTATAGTAAAGCGAAATTTCAATCCTTTATTTAATTTGAAAATAAAATCAGAATTTCGTTTGAATAGACGAAAATTTAAAATTTTACTTATTGACCAAATTCGTAACTCCTGCATGTAGAAAAAAATCATCTTTCATGACAGTTTTTAGAGACGTTTTATACACTCTTATAAGAGAACAGTAATTAAAAATAAGTTGATCTTATTAAACTTTTTAATGTACACTGCACACAATTATGTACGGACTGTCAAATTTTCAAGAAAGTGGAAATTTTACACTGGAATTGTTAAATTCTACTGCTTTGATATGATCAAAAATGTTGGAAATACAGTAAGTTTTTGATGCTAGCCGTAGTTTAATATTATATCTCAACGTAAAAAAAATGTATGAACAAATTGTCTTTTTAAGTATTTTGTTTTGTTCGGATGCTGTCTCATATCATATCATTTATCACATCATATCGTATTAAACTATCACTCATATAAGTGAATGAAAAACATCGCGATCACATTGTGTCGAAAGGAAAATTAGAGACAAAAGTTATCGAAATTTAAGCAAGCCTATTTTGAAGAAGCGATACAACTGTATATGAATTGTGTTGTTATAAAAGTTTATAACCAATTTTAGAAGGAAAAAAAAAATACATGTAAAAAACATCTCCTTATTTCACATGGCTCAACAATTCAGTATTTTTTTTCTTAAATTGTCTCAGAAATATACAAATGATGTTTAATAAATGACAAAGTCGAATGATTTGTATCGAATAACTGCCAGTATTATCCAATCAACTATCCAATGAAACAAAGATTGAAGTGTGGTGGTGCTTGACCATGCTTATACATCTGTACTTGTATATTTACTTTCTCCATTTGAACTGTACACGTATACCTAACAACAAAATTATTTCCATTTACCTGTGTTTCAAGTATTTGCAAATGGCTGATATTTTTCTTCAAGCATATTGTTTTTCTTAAATTGTTTAACATTTCACAGCGGTATAACATGTTACTTTAATTATTCTTCCCTTAGTTTATTTATTTTGTATTTACATTGTATCATAGATCAAATTTATTTGTTCAGTGTATGTTCACTGGTGTTAATATGTCTTTTGATTGAATTAAGCCATTTCAATTGATATTTTATGGTGTGTCTTTCTATGTTATGATGTTACACTATTGTTTCAGATAAGGGTGAAGTTTAGTACCATTAAAACGTTTAACCACGCTGCAATTGTTTGCACCTGTCCTAAGTCAGGAATCTGATGTTCATTAGTTGTCATTTGTTGATGTGGTTCATAAGTGTTTCTCGTTTCTCGTTTTTTTATATAGATTAGACCGTTGGTTTTCCCGTTTGAATGGTTTAACACTAGTAATTTTTGGAGCCCTTTATAGCTTGCTGTTCGGTGTGAGCCAAGGCTCCGTGTTGAAGACCGTACTTTGACCTATAATGGTTTACTTTTATAAATTTTGACTTGGATGGAGAGTTGTCTCATTGGCACTCATACCACATCTTCTTATATCTACTGAAAAAGGTTTTTACATGACAGACGACACAAATGATTTATGAATATGCATATGAAGCTTTGCTTATTATAAAGATATTGACGCGGAAAGAACTGGTATTACCAAAGGACCTTGCAGAGAAGGACTGTATCGCTCGGATCAAGAAATGTTGGTTAGTGAAATAAAACCAAACTTGTTTTCGCTATATCAAAACCGCATCGCATTTTAAGATTTTAACTCTGACAGACTGATATTTTAATCACAATTTGTAGAGGTATATTTTGTATTTACTAGTAAATTAACAATGATAAGAACATATATCAAAATAAGTGCTAATTTCATTAGACTGCAATCATAATTTACCGCTTCTTCTAAATATGAATGTGTAACAATTCGAATATATATATATTATTTATAATTCGGTCGTTGATGGAAATATATGAACTTTGGTTTGGACTAAGAGAGCGCTAATTTTTTATTTTCGAATTCAAGTTTTGAAATTTCTATGGCCATTTCCAACACAAATTTCGATGCCACAGTCGGGAATTCAGAGAACGAAGTGTCGAGCAGAACGTTTGCCTAGTTACAACATACAGAACATACAGAAGTGGCATCGCAAAATCCTCTGGTAAATGTCCTTCTAATGTCAATGTCTAAAACTTCAACACTACTTTCATGTGCCTAAAGATATAGAAACTAATGTTGTCGTCTGCCATCAACAACATTAGCCGTCTCCGAAGAACGACATTAAAACCCCGTGCGACAAATGTCGCACTGACATGAACACTCACACGACATACATGTCGAATGAGCTTAGTTTCCGCAAACTTCACAGAAGAATGACAACCTGGTTGTCGGTCTAGTTCAAAACAGGGTTTAACAACCAAAACATCAGGATCATTTCAGTGTGTCCACTCTTGTTTTTTTTTATAATCATTCACTGTGGATGTATTTTTATTCGTGGGACACCAATTCTTGTGAACCTTGTGGGTATCTGGGTAACACAAATTTTGATGTTTAACAATGTTCCAATTTTTTATTGATTTACATAAAATTGAGAATGGAAACGGGAAATGCATCAAAGAGTCAGCAACCCGACCAAAGAGCAGAAAATGCAGTCTTTGGCAAAACAAGAAATCAAATATCAACAAAAACAATCTTCCCTTAAAACACGAAATTGATAACAACGTAAAAAAATGAATTCACAGTAAATCATCATTTCTGATTTCTAAAATGTATTTGCAGAAATCTATTCTTTCTAAGAAGAATAGATGTTCTATAAAACTTCTTTGATACCATAAATATCAATATTTGATTCGTGCCTAGTATACTAATATATATATTTATTTATTTGCTTTGCCGATGAGATCATGGAATCGTTCTTTAGAAACAAGAAAACCAACGGCCTGTTTATGACAAATCAAGCACAAATAAGACAACAGAAACCAACGACAACCACTGAATTGAAAGCTGACTCGGGACAGATACGGACAAAAAGATTTTTTCCAGCGCTCAATCCTCCAATAACTCGGAAAGTGATGTAACAACAATACATATGAACAAATTATAATATTAGGTTGTAAGGGACTCATCTCACCAGAAATGCACACAGTACAAAAATCAACTAACAAAAAGACCCAAATCCCGATCTAAGAATACTCGCAGTTACTGAAATATTGTTCAAAGCCAATGAGAGCAAGAATATTTTCCTTCATTTTCTACAAATTTTGCGAGGTTAAACTCATGAGAAATTGCAATGAAAGACGTTTTGAGATCGAAATTTCAGGTACGAAGTGCACAACTATTGATATTAAAAACTTCTTTTGGTACATGCTGACATGACAGATTAAAACAGCGTTCACCAGCAAAACGTTAAAACTCAGCAATTTGATTTATTTTTTAAACAAACACTGACAACACATCAAATAACAGGAGTTGTAGTAGTCCAAATAACCCCTCAAAACATCACAAACAAAGCTTTCAATTTTGCGCTTTTTGTACACATTTCCAATTTCGTATGCCTTTTTTCCAAATATCTCATTTTTTGAATACTGTATTCTCATCGAAAAAAACATTTGCTAATATTTAACATTATCGATTTTAGAATATTTTTCAATAAAACAAATGTTAAAAATCAAAAGACTCATATAGGTATGAGGTATATCGGACAAACTGAAAGTGCTGTTTCTTTGCTTTTTGTGTGTGTTTTTTTGCTGTGCAAGTACTGAATTTGTGCCATGGATGGATACCCCATATATTTGTTAAGTCTATTAACCTGTTTTAATGCGCCATGTTTAATCAAAAGTGCAAGTACACAGTCAGTATTATGAAAGCAATTTTTTCCATGAGGTAATTTTAAAGAGATTTTCCAGTTATACTTGCACCCATAAAAATATCAAGTTTTAAGTTAAAAGTTATACGGGATCTTTGAAAAAATCGGAGAAGACTGAATTAATTTTTCACCGGGTCAATATGTTGTTAAGAAATTAACTTCTCTAGGGGAAGTTTAAGACACATTAACAAAAATATATATACAATAAAAAAATAACTTTACAGAACATGAATTGAACACAGTATGAAACCAAGTTCGTGATGTTATACTTGTTGGTTTTAAACAAAAGACTAAAATTTATTACTTTCAGAGGATTCCATCTCAGATTTGATGTTTTCGTTTCTCAAGTCTTTGTACTCATGACTCTCGGGCATACCATGTTTCAACAGAGAGTTGTATGGGTGTAAATATTCATCGGCTTGTTTATTTGTTGTAATTTCAACACCAATTGCTTTATATTCATGTTTATAAATGTTCGCCACTTGTATAGGTTGATAAGGATTTAGATACCCTTCATCCTCCACTCTAAAACAATTTTTAGCATCAATTGAATCTCTGTGATTGTTTTCTGAAGTTTCATTTAATTGATTTTGTTCAACATTTCTTGGAACTGGCAAACTAGGAGGAACAGAGCATGGGTTTTGATCTGTTATCTGTTGTTCATCAATATATTCATAACTGTACATTTCTAGTGACGCTTCTGCTGGCTCGTGCCTGTCGTCATCTTTCTGTTCAGATACTATTTGTCGAGAGCAATATTTATTCTTAACTCCATTTAGTAGCATTCCAATAAGAATGGCCATTACTAATAAACCAACTGCTCCAGCATAGAATACGATCTTATCGTCATCTTCTTTTCCTGGAAGAAGCAAATAAAAAAATTTAATGAGTTAAATGATCAGGAAAATCAAAAGTGTTAGGATTAACAAGTAAGTATATTATCTTATATGATTGACAACAAAATGGTGACTTTTTTTTTTTTATAAAAAAATGAAACAACACTTAATTTTTCCGAAGCGTTTTCTGGATTTTTCTTCCCCAGGAATACTCAAAGCCGAATTTTTGAGCCAATGATGTATAAGAACCGAAAGAGTTAGAGAACTAAATGACAAAAAAACAGGACATGAACAGAATAGCCAAATCAATCTAAGGTCAACTTTGCCTGAGAGCTTAGTTTAAACAAACAAAAAAATTTTTGAATACAAATTGTTTTGTTATGCTTATTATGTAAATAATTTATTGTACTAGGTTTTGTCAAACTGAGCACAAGAGTTTTTAACCCATTCAAGAACCCGGAGGTTATGGATGCTTCATCTTTTTTGCATGACAAATATGTCGTTGTTCCAGCAGATAAAGCCTCCAACAATTTTGTCTTCATATGTAAAAAGCATTACGTGGAATGACCCACAAAAGAGCTTGGAATAAACAGCTAAACTGGTAATCCTACATATTCTTTAACATCATTTACAAAGGATGAAATTTTAGAAAATCACAAATCTGTTCTTCTTTCTTTTGGTATTAACATCAAACAAAACGAAAAAGTCTACCGTTATTATACTGGATATCAAAACTTCACAAATCTCCTTATAAAGAACGATACATAGCTGGGTCATCAAGATCTTCGACTAAACATCTTTCTAAAGTGCTGACTACTATTCTTTCATCAGTAAAAGATGGCCTTAAAAATATTGTGATGAGATATATTCAACCAGTGGTGTCAATCAGATGTGGATACTTAAAAATTCTAAAGATCTACTGCGAAATCTTAGATCACAATCTAGCAATTTTGACTTTTGATTTTCTTACGCTTAACACAACTTTGGCACAACTTTTGTGAACTTTTGGTCCTCTATGCTCTTCAACTTTGTACTTGTTTTGGCTTTCGAACTTTTTTGATCTGAACGTCACTGGTTAGTCTTGTGTGGACGAAACGCGCGTCTTGCGTATTAAATTTTAAACCTGGTACCTTTTGTTAGCTATTATTCGTATGTTTCTCTGTCCTATATGTTCTCCCATTTATTTGTATTGTAGTCCTGTCATGTAATGTTGTCATTTTAATGTTATATTTAACATTGCCATAAAAGCGGGAGGTTTGGCTAGCCACAAAATGAGGTTCAACCCAACATTTTTTTCTAAAAATGGCCATTGTTATATTATTGTTCGTTTCTGTGTGTGTTACATTTTAATGTTGTGTTTCTGTTGTGTGGTAGTTCTCTTCTTATATTTGATGTGTTTCCCTCAGTTTTAGTTTGTAACCCGGATTTGTTTTTTTCTCAATCGATTTATGAATTTCGAACAGCGGTATACTACTGTTGCCTTTATTTACACTACTATTCCCCTTGCTCAACTGAAAGATCGACTTCATTACTCATTAAACAGAGCTTTATCTATAAAAATAGGAATCGTAGATATAAATTTCTTGTTTTGGGTTATAAAAATTCTTATTTTGTGAAGAACCACACTGATTCTATCAGAAAATACACTGAAGATGATATTATCAAAATGCTGGACTTTTTGATCTACAAAAATTTGTTTAGTTTGGAGGATTGATATTTCAACAGACAGTCGGTATTTCAATGGGTACTAATTGTGCACCCTACTGTCCGATTTGTTTTTGTGCTCGTATGAAGCAGAATTCATATAGAACCTTTTTAAAAAAAAAAAGCACCTTGCGAAATCCTTTAATTTTACTATCAGATATATTGATGATGTCCTATCACTGAATGACCCATATTTCAGTCAGTACTTAACTCTCGTATATCCCAATGAACTTGAAATTAAGGATACTACTGATTCTAGAAGGACTGCTTCATACATTGATCTTTTCCTCAATATTGACACATATGGATGACTTTACACTAAAATCTATGACAAACGGGATGATTTCAACTTCCCAATTACCAATTTCCCATTTCTCAGCAGTAACATTTTCGTGGGTACCAATTTTCGTGGATTGAGAAAAACTTGTTGTTCTGTGAGTTACATGTTGTAATGTACTATTATATATAATCATTTATGTATTTCTCTGTTCTGAGTGTTCTTGTGTTTATCTGTACTGTATTCCTGTCACGTAATGTTGCCATTTTAGCGATATTTTTAACATTGCCATATAAGCGGGATGTTTGGCTAGCCATAAAACCAGGTTCAACTCACCATTTTTTTTAAATATGGAATATGGCAGTTGTTATCTTATAGTCAGTTTCCATGTATGTTGGCGTTTGTTTTTGGTAGCAATAAACAGTTAGGAAAAAATATTAAAATTTTCCCTCATAAATTTTACCATCCCCTTTTCATTGCCTTCTTGCAATATTAAGCTTACTGTTTGTGTCATATATGTGCATATGTATGTAATCAGAATCTTCCATAGATTTCAAATCTAGTATATAAAATGGTAAAATATAATTTCTTTTTGGTGTATCCATGGCAACAATCTGCATTTTTTTGTTATAAAATATAACAAAAAGGGGGGAAAAGATGTCACATATTTCCTCAAAATTTGATCAAAAGTCGAATTTCAATCGCTTCAAGTAATACCTTTTCTGAAACTGTTTACATATATCTTTCAATAAATCCAATGAAAATTATATGTCTTTCATTTCATTTTTTTGTAAAATTGCGTCAAAAACTTCGTGTAGAAAAAAAGTGTTTGTAAACATTACATTAATTTCTGGACCGATGACCGGTCTAGCTATGAAAATACGGAGAGTCAAACAGAAAATAGCCCATAAAACATGTAAAAAATAATCTTGATGTTCTTATAAACCACCTTTGAAGGCTAAATTAGTACTCAGCTGTCTAAAAATGAATTTTATTACACAATAACTTTCATATTTGAAAAATCCACCGGGGCCAAAATGCGAAACCAAACTCCTAACTGTGTATTGCTACCTTAATAGTAAATATTTTTTTCCAATTCTCCCTTTTAACTAATTTTCTGTGTTCTGCTAGCTAAAAGGAGTAAAATGGCCTTTTATTTTTGAAAATTGGTTGAGTAATGAATATTTTACGAAGGTTAGCAGTTGACACTGAAACGCGACAAAAACTGATTTAAAGAAAGGTGCCAAGTCAAAGAGTAAAATCTTGTTTCTACCTCAATTTTTGGCAAAATCTTAAAAACTATACCTCTTTTGTCAGTTTTTTAATGTTGAAAATCTTTATAAGACCTCTGATGATGCAAAATTGTTCAAAATTTAACAATTTCAAGCATGAAAATGTTAATCTTTATGTTTAATGTATACCAAAGACTTGATTAAAGTACTTGGTAATGGGGAATCAATTTCTTACAGCTGAATCAACTATACATTTAATATATGTCAAAATGTAACATGAAATCTTGATAAAAATAATAATTTGATATATTCGCAAGAAAAAATACAAAACATTCAATACTTAGGCTACTACATACTGCGCAATCCTCCAGACGCAAGGGTTAAGCAAATAGAGTACAATTATAAGCCTTGTCCCAAAATGTCTAATTTTGGTTGCTAAGGACTGTAAACAATAAAATTGACATGTATTGTCATTCTTAAACACTTAATCCCTTCAGAAGTTGATTTAGAATCTAAATATCAATAGTTTTGTGGTATGAAAAGTCTTAAATTATACAATTCTGAGCTTGGTAAGTATGCCATAAGGTAGCAATAAACAGTTAGGAAAAAATATTAAAATTTTCCCTCATAAATTTTACCATCCCCTTTTCATTGCCTTCTTGCAATATTAAGCTTACTGTTTGTGTCATATATGTGCATATGTATGTAATCAGAATCTTCCATAGATTTCAAATCTAGTATATAAAATGGTAAAATATAATTTCTTTTTGGTGTATCCATGGCAACAATCTGCATTTGTTTGTTATAAAATATAACAAAAAGGGGGGAAAAGATGTCACATATTTCCTCAAAATTTGACCAAAAGTCGAATTTCAATCGCTTCAAGTAATACCTTTTCTGAAACTGTTTACATATATCTTTCAATAAATCCAATGAAAATTATATGTCTTTCATTTCATTTTTTTGTAAAATTGCGTCAAAAACTTCGTGTAGAAAAAAAGTGTTTGTAAACATTACATTAATTTCTGGACCGATGACCGGTCTAGCTATGAAAATACGGAGAGTCAAACAGAAAATAGCCCATAAAACATGTAAAAAATAATCTTGATGTTCTTATAAACCACCTTTGAAGGCTAAATTAGTACTCAGCTGTCTAAAAATGAATTTTATTACACAATAACTTTCATATTTGAAAAATCCACCGGGGCCAAAATGCGAAACCAAACTCCTAACTGTGTATTGCTACCTTTTGTTGCAGTTCATTGTTTCTGTTGTTCCGTTGTTTTCCTCTTATAGTTGATGGGTTCCCTTGGTTTTGGTTTGTGACCCGGATTTGTTTTCGCTTAGTCGATTCATGACCATTGAACAGCGGTATACTACTGCTGCCTTTATAAATCTGCTATTGTACTAGGTTTTGTCAAGCTTGTATTGACATTTTCTTCTATATGTGAATGTAGTTATGTGTAGTTTGTAATACATGCTGACCCTGGTCATGTCAACTACATTAAATATGTAAAACTAGTAAAACGTAATTATAATTACTAATATCTGAGAGTTTAATGTCTTGTGAACATAGGTAGAGTGTTCTGTAAAAATATTTGTCATACTATTTTGTTTTCAGAATCTTAATACTAAGAAGTGGCTTAATCTTCTTGCAATGTCGGTTTATAGATCCGCTTATTATCTTGATCCTTTCCTCGATACTCATACAGATTAACTACCTAAATCTGAAATCTATGACACATTTAATGATTTTAACTCAACAATTGTCAAGTTTCCGTTTCTCAGCAGTAACATAACTTCTGTACCGTTGCTTGACATTTACATATCTCAATTGATATGATACGCTCGTGCATGTTCACGGACTTTAGTAACTGGAATGTGCTCCTTACACAAAAACTGCTCAAACAGAGTTATGAGAAAGAACGATTGAAATCGACCATTATTAAGTTTAGCCGTCATTATCACGAATTCGCTGAATGATACGATATGATAGTGCTTCAACTCCTTAACGACAGGTTTTCCCAGTCTTAGGTCAAAAGATAACAGAATAGTCCTCTAATTTGTAATTTTACTGAATATGTCCTATTTCCAATTGTGACATTTTGACTGAGTGTGGATTCGATTTGATTAATTCTGTAAATCTCCAGAAAGTAATGTTATTGCACAAAAATTATGGTTGCATTCCTTAAAGGCAAACTTGATCTTTGAAGGATGTCAACCTTGGTTTTTTCTGATGTTCGGCGTATTTTGTTTTTGGTTTTCCAGAATTTTGGTCTCGAACGTATCCGGCAATGGCTACTCGAGAAATAATGTAGAACACTAAGTTCGATATCATACGTTTTCATTACATTTATGGAACTTTCAATGGAGTGGCATATACCCTGTAGTGAGTGCTTCTGTTTTGTCCTGGTTTCAATAATCCATTTTCCGTAAATTTTATGTTTCTTAATTATGATTTTGTAATAAACATAAGGTAGCAGCTGATATGGAATGAGCTACAGAGGAAAATGTTACCATTACCGCCTATGGGAAATCAATTACGCAAACTGATCTAGCTCTAAGGCAAATCAGATCTTATGCGGTTTTATCCTTTATGAGTTTATATAGCTGTTTTATTAAGGTCTTTTTCTTTTACTCTACATTATTTCTTAGTTTCAATCTACCTTTCGGTCTAGCTTAAGCTAAGAAGGTTATTCTAAAAAAGTTCAATGTAGATGCTGGAGGTCTATTAGTCCCCTTAAGTACCATCATTCTGAGGCAAATTCTGCAGTTTTCGGAAGATGTTCTTTATAGGATTGGATATTATAAATAATACAGTAAACATTGATATCTTTCAGTTTTCATGTCAAAGGTGTAATCCGGTTTGTTAAGTGTATTTCAGTAGCATAAGAATACTGTAAATACTGCATGATTCATAAGCTCTAATAAAAAAATCTGTGAAGTAGTTTATTACAGACACATCGCTTATGTTTTTATTGTTTCTACGTATTCATATATCCCTTAGTCTAAAATGTTGAGTTTGATCATATCCTGATGGAGGTATATCTGGAATAGCACTTCGGACGGATGAAATTTTTTAAACAGTTTTAATCCTGAAAAATGGTAATGATCTGTATATACAGTTACGTGGTACAATAACTGTAAAGTGAGAAATTTTTGCTAGGTTTTTATTTTTGCTCATTTTCCGATTAAATTCAAGAGTTTTAGATTTATTCATACCTGTTTTTTCATCCGATGGTTTATTTGTATGGCTTCTATCCGGATACGTAACAGTTCCTTTCAATATATTAGTAGTCCCTTTTTATAAATAAATAAATTATAAATGAACATTAATGATGGCTCTTCTGTTAAGCTCTTTAAGGTTTAGAAGTTCTTATTTGACTTACCAAACCTTTGATTTCGGGGGCATTACAATCTGTATCATACGTTTGCATTGTTTTCCCCTCTATACTAAGATGGTGTAACCCTATTTGATATGACTGTAAACATTATTTCAGATGTATAACACTATATCGGCGTTTTGTAAGCGACGAAAAATATTTAAAAAAAAGTATGTACATTAACGGCTATGTGAGAAAAATTCCAAATATAGATACATTTTGTAAGTAAAACAAATGGAAATAATTATTTATGTGTTTTCTTTAAAGAATCAACATTTTTCTTTCTTTAAAATATGAAATAGATTTTGTAATTCTTTAAATACATGTGTATATCTGTATTTGGTTTAAATGACTACTTTATAGGTTTTATGGATCGAGTTATTTGACGAATCAGCTATATTCACCAGGAAGCTTTAACATTGCTTGATGAGGAGAAACCTAGCGAAAATCATTTGTGCACAAAACATCTTGAGGATGTAAAACTGATTTTTCTTTGTGAAAAACACCATGCGTAGAAATATTATTTGCTTTCTTCCAATTACACATTAATTCAATGTAAGTTTGTTAATTTTCCATTTAGATATTGGATGAAGACAGGAACAATTGTTTGATAAAACTTGCATTTATGTTGAAATAATGAATTTTAAGCCATTGTGTTTGTTCCTCTTTTGAACTTTCTTAACTTAGTTTCTATTTTTATAAACGAATTATAGCAGTACGGCTCATTCCAATCGATATATTGCGTCAAAGAATGTATGACATTATAAGTTATATGGTTCGCTACTGGCCCCCTACGGATCCATATAGGGTTAGTAAAATCCATAGGGGGTGAGGCCGAAGGCCGAATCTCCTATGGATTTTACTCATCCTCTATGGTTCGTAGGGGGTCAGTAGTGAACCGTATAACAAATTTATCGCACACGGGACTTTTCCTGCCGCGTTTTGTAGAAAAATAAAAAAAAAAAAAATGAATTACAACAACATCAGCCGTAAATATGATAAAACATATAATTTTCTATATTAACATGAAAAGTCTTACACATGAATTACATACTACTCTCGAAATTTGCACATTTCATTATTATCTAGACCGATTGTTATCTGCTTTTTCAAAATTCAAGACGGAGGAAGACACTCCAGCCACCTTAACAGTAGACGTGACGTCATGAACCCCTATGAAATTTACTACCCCCCCCCCCCTAACGGATCCATAGGGGGTCACCACGTGTTTAACCAATCACAACGTCATAATTTACCTGCGGTGCGATAAAATGCTTTTGTTAGGAATAAAATCTACGGCAGTACGTTTGACCATAGATGTAATAGATATTATATCTATCGTTTGACAACGGGATAAATATCTTCATTGGAATTATTTCAAAGATAAAATAAATGAGATAAACGATAAAATTGAAATACTTTTGAAGGTAAAGTTTAATATTGTACATTATATAAATAACACATAGCTGAGAGGGTGATAGAGCAGATTGTTATCCCGAGAAAACATTATCAACTGAAGCGAAAAATTTATTATACTGAATGATCTTTTATTATTGTCTTTTACTGTCCAATTTTAAATTGAAAGTATTTATCTATGACGTCATGTACATAATAACGTTACGTTGCCACAAATTACTTAAAACCTTTACTAAATTCTTCCGCAGATATAAAGATTTGGTTTTAAAGTTTGAATGTACCTGTAGAAAACTTATTTCAAACGGGATTGCACATCCTCATTTTTACGGCAATATTGTTTACCGTGCCCGGAAATTTAGAAACGATCCTGGTAAACTTATCGATCCTTTAAATAAACTTATTCTAAAAGGTTACCAATTCAACACTGTAATTAGATCATTAAATATTGTTTTTATTGGTACTGATATTGATTTTGTTATAAGTAAATTAAAAGCAAACTAAATATTATTGTTATAACGATATACACATTCATGGATCTACAACCTGTCGATACCTGTATCTTGGCATTGCACAAGGTCATGTTTTTCTCTGACTGTTTATGACGTCTGTACACTAAATCGATTGGATGTTGGATGCGTACGGATTGATAATTTAGTCTTAGATGCATGATTTTTTTTATTAGTTGTTAGTGGCTTTGAACTAGCTGTCAGTAACTGCGAGTACTCTCAGATCTGTACTTAGTGTCTTTTTTGTTGTTTGGATGTACAAGTACCCAGCCACGTCCATGCACTTGTATTTGTATATTTGTATTTTTATCCATCTGATGAGTTTAGCCTCTTTCAATTGATTTTTATAATTCGTTCTTATGTTGTACTGTTACACCACTGTTCCAGGTTAGGGGGAGGGTTGGGATCCCGCTAACATGTTTAACCCCGCCACATTCTATATGTGCCTGTCCCAAGTCAGGAGCCTGTAATTCAGTGGTTGTTGCTGTTGATTATATGCGTTATTTGTTTATTGTTTTGTACAGTTCTTGTAGTGTCCTGTTGCACCACTGACCCAGGATAAGGGGGGGGGGGATCCCGCTAACATGTTTAACCCCGCCACAGTCTGTATGTATGTGCCTGTCCCAAGTCAGGAGCCTGTAATTCAGTGGTTGTCGTTTGTTTATGTGTTACATATTTGTTTTTCGTTCATTTTTTGTACATAAATTAGGCCGTTAGTTTTCTCGTTTGAATTGTTTTACATTGTCATTTCGGGGCCTTTTATAGCTAACTGTGCGATATGGGCTTTGCTCATTGTTGAAGGCCGTACGGTGACCTATAGTTGTTAAATTCTGTGTCATTTGGTCTCTTGTGGAGAGTTGTCTCATTGGCAATCATACCACATCTTCTTTTTTATATTTACAGTTATAAGACAATAACAGAAGTGAAAGAAGATTTTTTTTTTATTTTGACAGTCAATGATAAAGCTCTGAGGCCAAATCGTAGACATTGTTTTTAATTGATTGATGTAAATTCAATTCATTGTACTTTGAATTATCGATTTTTGATTGGTCTGCACGAGAGGGTGACATTCAAAAAATTGTCTCCAGCTGTTCCATGGGATAGAGTAAATTATCTCACTCGTATTATCCAATCAAAATCTGGTATTTTGACGTGAAGTATAATAAAAAAATACAGATATGCTTTTATCAGCCAAAATGACATTGTTACTTTCAAAGATGCAGCACTCCTGTTTACCCATCAAACGCAAAGATGTGACATAAAAAATCAGCATATAATGAACGAATTTTTCTGGTAATGGATATGACATGAAGCAAGCGTGTTCAGTATAAGATAGATAAACTATAAGGTAAGGGATACAATTGCTTTTTGATATATATATCTGAAATAATGTTATTATATATAACAGAAGTATTTCTAACTATATATATAGAGGCTCTAAAGAGCCTGTGTCACTCGCATGCATCTATGTGCATCTCTCGGTGCATCTTAAACAATGACCACTCTCTAACATTGTGGAATAAAATAAAATTCAGGACTAAAATTTTGATCATATCTTCGTAACGTTTCTACGTATCTATATAATCTATATTCAAATATTTGGGTGTGGGCGTTCCTTAGGAAGATAGTAAAAACAGCGCTTCGGCCATAAGTTTATAAATAATTATTTTCATTTACTAACAATGGGTCGATACCACTACTGGTGGACTGTTAGTTTCCGATGGTATCAAGTTCAATAGTCAGTACCATAAAAATGAATGTTTTTGTTAGCCCTAACCCTACCTACCTACTTTTACTGTCCTGATGTGTTCTATTTCTTTTTGCCGAAAAAACAAGAAAATGCCTACCTACCTACCCACTGTCTCTACCTTTGGTACAACCAAAATATTTGTAAGTGTGGCCCTGTGCTTCGGTAATGACATGATTTTCATAATTTTCAAAAATTCCCCGTTTATAAATTAAGAAATTGATAAGAAAATAATGTTCCAACTCGCTCTGGCAAAGTTGATCGTAGACGAATTTAACCATTCTTTTTATGTGCCTTTTAGTCATAAATTTCCTTATGTAACCACAAATTTATGCAACCCTTGCTTTAAAATGTTTGGGTATGAGCGTTCCTGATCCTGTTTAACGGTAAACCCGTCGCACAAACGCATTTACATGTATTATGTTTCAAGTGCATTTGCAGTCATCTTTTCAAAACGTTTGCACAAGCTATAATAATTTATTTGATCTAACGGACTGTTTGTGTAAAAGATGGCAACACATACCTTTTACTTTGAGAAGCAATAACTCAGACGTATTTACATTTGATAACAGAATGCGCCTCCAATGAGCAACACGACGAGTTCCTTATTTTACACCTAGATTTTTGAAAATCGTGTATCTTTTGTTCATTTATCATTACTGTATCGTTTCTAATTTATTTTCTAAGAAAACACGTATAGCTATATCGGCTTATAGAGTGTCTATATGCCATTTTATTTTGTTTTCTTTATTGACATAGTTTTGTTGTTTTTATAGTGACTATAATGTTATATGTGTCTGAGTTTTTGATTTTGCCATCTGACAAGGGACTTTCCGTTTTGAATTTTACTTTGAATTCGGTATTTTTATTATTTTACTTTTGACTGCTGTACCCCATTTTTTAAAAACATTTTTTCCTATTATATCTGTTTGTTTTGCTCATTGTTGTCAGTAGACATTTTCGAAAACTATTCGAAACCGACGCATACCCGTACGAATACGCCTACAGTAACCTTTTTGAGAAGGCGTCATCTAAATATGTACAACGACCACAGGCATTTATATTATATTTTTTTCTTCTTATTTACATTTTAAAACTGTATAAAACTTGTATTTCGAATGATTTGCTACTTAACTAGCTCTGTTTAGTTGCTGATAATTGCCCGATCTTAATATTGTACTATGTACAAAAAGGGGGGTTGATTTGTGTGAATTAGTAAAATTCTAATCAGAAACAGGAACATGTAAAGTCTTTAATAGATCGAAACAGAACGTATAAATATATAGATGATAGTATGCATTATCTTGATGTAATCAGTGGTGTACGGAAATTTATACCGGTGTTGGAAATGCATTGTAAAATTCCGTACACCCCAGAAAACACTGAGAAAATCCAATTTATTTCTTATGAAACTTTCCTTTACTAATTTTTATACGTGTGTATACAATTTAAAAATTCTTATGAAGAACTTCCACTTCACAATTCAATACTAACGTTGCTGCGCGTTGTCAAATATAGCTTTAATATGCATATATTTTTTTTGTAAAGGTTGGGGTGGGGGTCAAATTCGATTTGTGTTTAGTGTTTGGAAATTGTATTTTGGAGAATTCCGGCAAACAAAGCTTTTTTTATTTTGCAAATTTTTTTTTTTCAGTTTTTGAATTTTTTATTACTTTTTTTTCCTTTTACTTTTTGTAGTTATTTTTTACTTTTGGCATTAAATATTTAGCGGAATTTTACAATACAACCATTTTTATTTTATACTTGAATCACTGAAACGTCCATTACAAATCCTAATACCTGTTGATTTACATTGATTTAATATACGTTAGGTTAATAAGAAATAAGATACTTTATTTATGATCCGAATGCTTTCTATAGCAATTCAATTCAATTCGCAAATTGTATATCTACCGCAACACTGTATTCCGTGTGAATGGTTGCAAACGGAGACAATTAAAAAAAAAAAAACAGATGGAATATCACAAATTCATTAATTAAATAATCAATAACTAATGAGAGCATTCGGTGTTTCTACCTCCGATTACGAATAAAGAATAATATAAGAAAAAATACAGAATGTATTTTTGATATCTGCAAGTTTTACGAGGTCCTTCATTCAGTATGTTTCGACATTTTGATACGGTCCTTATATTTTTGTAGTCTGTGTAGGTATCGGTGTCGGTGTAAGTGTGTGTTTTAGTGTAGACAACATTTTGAAAATGTCTGTTATAATAGTATTCTATACGACTGTCATACAAGTGAGATGTTTAGCTAGCTATAAAACCAGGTTTAATCCACCATTTTCTACATAAGGAAATGCCTGTACCAAGTCAGGAATAAGACAATTGTGTCCCATTCGTTTTATGTGTTTGAGCTTTTGATGTAGCCATTTGATAAGGGACATTCCGTTTTGAATTTTCCTTCGAGTTCAGTATTTTTGTTATTTTCCCTTTTTCAGTAACAGTCTGGGATATCCTATGCAATGAAATGCTTTTTTATTCCACACATTCGATAATGTACTAGGATATAGAATTTGCATGTGCCGAAGGTTTCTGAATTTTATTAAGTCTTAAAATTTGAGAAGAGACATTTTTCAAAACGCTTATCTGTTTCATCTTCTTATCTATTAACATCACGCAAGGTCTGTGATCATCGTCAGTCTCCGTGCGTCATTAACTTTTATAAGGACCTTTGCCTCTGAAACAGTTAACCAATTTAAGTAAAGTTTTTAACCGGTATTCTGTATGTGATTCTATGAACCAGACCACCGATTGTCTGTGGTATTCTTTATTTCAAGTTCAACAAAATATTATTTTGCGCAGTCGACAGTTCTAACTCAAATCAATACGACTAGCACGTTTCATGCTTACCTTTTCGTTGTGCAGATAGTTGTTTTGTAGTTCTTGTAAAAGACTTACAACCTTGTTTAAAATCGCAGCTGCAAAATTAAAAAAATATAAATAACTATTTGCAATCAACTCATTTTTCACAACAAAGAGGTAATCATAAAGACTAAAAGGGGCATTGGCTGTCAAATCCATGTTCACCGATTTGATTCAAATTCTCATTTTTGATTTATAACATACTAAAACATATACCCTAATTATAAAAGGTCTACAAGGCATAGGCTCGATAATATGTATCATCGTTTCGTGTGTATTTTAGTCTAGATACCATCTAATTAACTATTGAGTTGACCTCCAAAGACTGTCGACGGTAATATAAGCGACATAAACATAAATATAGATATAAATAGATAGTGAACTCGTGCAATTGGTCTGTTTAATTTCATATTAAAGGTTAAAAATATATGTTAATCATCGTTTTTACCTGTATAAGAATGAGTTTTTGTGGATCGAATCAGTCAATCAAATGATTTTCCTTTGTTTTACTGTCAATGTTGACATTCTTTTCCTTTTAATAACTGAACATGCATATAGTTCATGCGCAATCCATCTCTAGCTAAGGGGTTAAATTGAAGGTCACATGAATACGGATTCAATGAGGTCGAATCATTCACTTGCAAGTGCAAGTGCAAGTGAATAATTCATCATCGATGTTTCTTAGCTTATTTTGACAAAATTGAACCATACTGGGTGCTAAAAGCGAATTATTATTTCACTATTTCACTTTCATTATTAAATGATTGAACAAAAAAAATCATATCTTAATTTCTTTTTATATTTCGTCGCTAGTGCCCCTTTAAGTTTTATAAAACTATATTGTAGAGATAGATACCATTCTTATTGTTTCAAAATATTGTTATTGTTCTAATTAAATTGTTTCGTAAGACAGTACACCTGTACACAATTGAAAGTCCAAACATGTTAAATCACTTAACATTATACAAATGTTTCTAAACATTTAAAAAGGACAAATCCTTAAGGATGACTAAGATGTGTACACCAGAGGACTATCTTGATTTGTAAATCTGTAAGACGTGGACCAAATGATTCACAGACGTAAACCTTCAGCGACGTTCAAGACAAAAACGCCAATTAGTTTTGTTTTATTATGTTAAATAGATAGTTAGATTCTTGTGCCCCAACCAACACTCAAAATTATGAAATAATGAAAAAATCAGACCGTGTTCTTTTTCTTTTCTCTTCCAGTGGCAGTCCACATTTTTCATCTTACATCGGTCGACCTCTATTACAGGACCTACCTATTGTATGTACTGTTAATTTGTTCTCGTTCTGAACATGTATGGAATACTTGCCACCGGACGCTGATCAACCAACCATCAATCAATCTTTTTTTCTCTCACTTACATCTAAATAATATAAAAGTTCTAAAAAATGTTGTTCGTACCTGTACACACTACTGTAATTCGTTATTTTTTAATGTAATACCAAAAACGCTATATTATAGGAATATTATCTTACTTACAACTCGAAATTGCATTGACATTTGTAAGCGCAACGATTTCCGTAATATGGATACTGGCAGTGATAGCAAGCTACACCTTTGGTTGATGTGTAACCAATGGGACACTCTGCAACAAATGTATCATATGCACAAATCAAATGAAATAATAGATAAAGGAGATATTGGATAACGGACTTCATATTATCAGAATATAGGTCAGCTGCATATAAAAAGCCATCCAAATACCCTAATGATAGCTTTCAACAGTCATCAAGCATATTATATTTTATATACGGGAGGCGAAATATGCAAAAGGAATAATCAAACTTATAAGTCGAAAACAAAATGACAACACCATGGGTAAAAAAGACAAAGGATAACGACAAACACTATTCTAGAAAACACAACACAGAAAACGAAAGTCAAGGCATAACGAACCCAACCAAAATCCGGGGGTGATTTTCGGTGCTCCGGAAAGGTAGACAGATCTTGCTCTACACGTTGCACCCGTCGTGCTGTTGGTATAAGATTATAGATTAAAGATAAACCTTGTTCGGTGATGTCATATTCGGACGGAATTATGGTTAATATAATTGGAACATATCTATCATCATCTGTGAAACAGATATGTCAAAACGGTCAACTAAATCGTGATTGCGAGTGTGAACAGTTCGAAAAGATGACTGCAACTTTTCAACAAAATCGTTGTTTTAACAGCTATTCATGAAAGGGAAACGTAATTTTATATTTAAACAGCGACATGAACTGAAACTATTTATTCATAACTTGACTCTTCCAAATTACATTCGCCAATTGTGAAAGAATGATTAAACAAAAATACACCAAACAAATAAAATACCCTTTATTAATACCAAGCGATATCAAAATAACATAAAGAGAAAGATTAAGAGTCACAATTCAAGTTGACAATCAAATCAGGCCCCTGATAATTCTAAAATATTGCACATTTCACCAATTTAGATAAACAGGTAATGTGCAAGTGCAAGTAGTGCAAGTTTTTAATATTTTTTTTTTTAATAGAGATCTTTATTCTTATGATTTAGACATGTTAGATCCATAAAGATGCAGATATTTTGCATGGCTGCGTATTTATATATCCCGATAATCCAAACAAATAAAAGATGGTCTCTACTGTGGAACATAGTTAAACAGAGAACAATATCGGAGAAAAAATCCAAGCAAAGAGCTTCTTTAATTCCGAAACCGTCGCAAACAATTTAACCAATCCTTGAAATAATGACAATGGATTATTCTGATCTAATGTAGAATTTGTGGGCCTAATCTTAAACCCAGAATGACCGTCGACGTGGAACACATATTTACACAGAACCATATGAGAAAAACATAAAAAACAGATTTTTCTCAAAAAATCATCACACATTTAAATCGAATATTTCACAAATGATCCTATAGTGGTAAACACCCCCCACTTGTGCACTACAGTTAAACTAACAATATTTTTTGAAATACAAGCAAGTCCTTTCCGAAAGGGGTACAACTATCTCAATAAGAAACTGCACCTTCATAACATTACAATTTATATCATGACAGAAAAAATATGATAGTTTAAATGTACCATGACTCAAACAACTATCAATACTGATCCGTGTCAACAATTTTAGTCTTAATGAACAAAAATGGTTCACCTCCAAAAGGAATCAAATAATTATACCAGTTCGTGAATCAGAATTAAACATAAGATTAAATACTTGTATGTACGATATCATCCATATTACAAAATTATAATCAGTACTTACACGTAGTCTTGACCTCAGCGAAAATAAAATAATGAACATTGCTATAAAAACAATCTGTTTGAAACCAATTTAATTGCCCAGTGTGAATATCAATTATATGGTCATTTTTATAAATTTCCTGTTACAAAACTTAGAATTTTTCGAAAAACTAAGGATTTTCTTATTCCAGGAATAGATTACCTTAGCCGTATTTGGCATAACTTTTTGGAATTTTGAATCCTCAATGCTCTTCAACTTTGTACTTGTTTGGCTTTATAACTATTTTGATCTGAGCGTCACTGATGAGTCTTTTGTAGACGAAACGCGCGTCTGGCGTATTAAATTCTAATCCTGATAACTATTGCGAAGGATGTCACATGTAGAGCAGGATCTGCTTTCCCTTCTGGGGCAGCTGAGATCACCCCCAGTTTTTGATAGGGTTTGTGTTGCCCAATCTTTAGTTTCTATGTTGTCTTTTGTATACTGTTGTTTGTCTATTTTTTGCAATGGCGTTGTCAGTTTATTTTCGATTTATAAATCAAAACGTCCCTTTGGTATCTTTAACCTCTCTTGTATATTATGTAGGAATATAAAAAATGTAGAAAAACAAAATATTATAGAAAATGACAACCAAAGTCGAATATATGTAGTTAGATGACTGTGGCAGATAGTTGGTGAATAATACACATATACAGTATCTTTCAAATGATGTAATGTGCTGGAACATATCAGATAATGATGAGTGTTAATTGTCTAAAATCATTTAAAAGATTTTCGTTTCAAGATTGATTACATCATTTCACATTAGTTTGTTCTAATGCAGTTATGTTTTACCTATGCAGGTCTGATTAGCAGCTTCATAAAAATGTGTACAACATACTTTGCTGAAACGAAAGACTTGATTTTAAAATTACTAGCATAAAAACAACAAACTTCTATATATTCTAAGCTAATATCAATCATATATAGTTTTATTTTCTTAAAGCTACTCAGACAATTGTGCAATTCAAAAACACATTATTGTCTTTCTTGTAATTATATTTTACCACCATTTTCCCCCGGGACATGACTTATATTACGTTTTTGCAAATAAGGAAAGAAAAGTGGTAACCTGGGAAGAAGATATTTTTTTTAGTAGTATATTAAAACAATTCTAAGAGAACGAATGATAAATATAGGATCTTATATTTTAGAAATATGCAATTTAGCATGAAAAATCAAATTTAACATTTTTTATTAGAGATTATGATAGTGTTTAATATTTTTTTAGTCAAAATAAAAAAAGGTAAAACACGGGATGAAGATACTAAGGAGGACAATATAATGATAGACAACATGGTTAAACAGACTTAAGAAGTCATTGATACATTTCTCAAAAATTAAAGACTGAGCAGCACGAACCAAACCAACAATTTATGTGTGAACTAAGGTGACCAGAAGGGCAATCATTTCTTGCTCTATAAATGTCGTTCGTCGTGTTACTTTAGTTAAAATCCGTCCGTTTGCTGATAAAACATTATGCTGGAGCTTTTCATCTCAAAGACATAACCATATTTATAAACCATCGTTAAATTTAACTCTTTAACACAATACAGAACCGAATAAGTTTGGAATGAAAACATTCCCACTATACAAAGTAAAGATAAAACCACAAACACAGATATCTTCAACGAAACAGCCTTAATAATAAAAGAAAGGTAAGCAATTCCTTCTCCAGAAAAGGCACCAAATGTGTAATGGCAGGTACATGCCTAGTGATAAGATAATATTGGGTTATCTCACAAACGAAAAAAAAGGACTTAATTTTGGTAAAGACAGTGGAACATACCCGTGGTCATCTGTGACAGATCTATAACACTGAACAGTTTAACAAATTATGATGGCGTTCTTAAACGTTCAAAGAGCAGACTTTGACATTGGTGAGCTTGGTAACGGTAGTATATATTTTCCATTTAACAAGTTTGGACAAACACTAGTTCTGTATTTCGGTTGAAAGTATATAAGTCTACTTTTCCATGGCAATGACGGAAACTCAAAACACTGGAAGAATGCCATGACTGATGAGGTTCCGCAGATATGCTAAATTTGGTGCTTTTATTGGTTTGTAGACATAGTAATGTCCCGACTCGATAGACTATGTTGACATTTTGAGTAAAATAATGTTGATAAAATTGAGAATGGAAACGGGAAATGTGACAAAGAGACAACAACTCGACCTAAAGAGCAGAAAACAGCCCAAGACCACCAATGGGTCTTCAACACTGCGAGAAAATCCCGCATCCGGAGGAAGGCTTCAGCTGACCCCTAAACAAAACTGTGTACTAGTTCAGCGAAAATGGACATCATACTAAACTCCGAAACATATAAACGAACGAAAATAAAAAAAAAATAAATGGGGAATGTGTATATGGGACACAGATGATGCCCCCGCTTGCATATCATACAAAGTTATAAAGGGACATAACTGAAGACCGGTAAATGTGAGGCTACCCAAATTTGTACTTGATCTGAGTTTGTGGTTGTATAAGTTTCATAACATTTGTTTGAGGCAAACTAAAGTTAGAGAACGGAAACGAAAAATTCAGCAATGTTTCCATTTGGAAAGGAGCATAACTGTAGAACTGTTAAAGTGGCGCCACCAAAATTCAACCTTGAGCTGTGTTTTGTGGTACTAAGCATTGTGTATATAAGTTTCATAACATTTTGTTCAGGCAAACTTAAGTTAGAGAACGGAAACCAACTTTGGGACGTACGGACGGACGAACGTATGGATGTACAGACGGACAAGGGTAAAACTTAATGCCACCTCCGCTACGACGGGGACATAAAAAAAAAACAAAACATAGAAGTCAATCAAAGTTCAGAATAAGATTTTTTTAAATATAAAATTAAGAAAGAAAACAAAAATGAGTTAGGCAATCAAAAACAATAAGGCAATGAAACAGATGGTAGAAATAGAATAATAGGAGATAAAAATCTTCAGGTTTATGTTCTTCTAAATTACTAAATAAGTTAGATCGGGTTTTCCTCTGCCAACTTGGATTGTTCCTCTGATGTAACAGTGTTCAAAAAAGAAAATCTAAAGGATTCATACATGTTGCATTTGGTGTTTGATTATATTGTTGACATCATAATGTACAGACTAAACTAACATGTAAAGTAAAGTTATACAATGTTGACTGATCAAATCGTTTGAAATCTGAAATTAAGGCAAATTAACAGTACATTGAGACTTAAATATTTTTAGGAATTTTGTCAAGATAAGGTTGAATTCACACGACAGAGTTTTAGTGTTGTAGTATTTTGATTGAGATTACAGTCTGAAATGTTTCTATCTGTTGTTGTATCATTAAGATGCATGATTAAGATTTTGTTCTTCTTTTCTGTAAATCACGGACACAACTAGGTGTTTGAATCTTGCAATATTTTGCTTTTTTGGCGACAAAAAGGATTTGTCATATGTGAAAATGCAAAGTAAAACATATGACTTTTCAATAGTATTTCATGGTAGATACATCACGTAAATGACGGAAATTGTATTGATATTAAACGATGATGATAATAAATAAGTAAATGAGAATTGAGTTTTCAATATAAGTACACCTTTTGATAATATTTACTTACCTTCCTTCATATTGACATGTTCTTCCAGTCAAAGTAGCAATTGTAATTAGTGACAGCGTGCTGAAAAATAATATACGCAGAAGAGTTAATCTCATAGCTATATAAAGTACATCTGCAATACTTGAAAAAGTACGTTTTTGTTTTATATAGTTCAAATGATATGAAATATTTAAGGAAATATTGCAAAATTATGATGAATCTAATTTCTAAATGCAGTTTGATAAATTCCGCTTCCTCTTCTACTTGATATTACATTGTATATTGTTATGACCCATTGGGTATATAAGGATTCATGACAGAACACGATCTAATAATATATGAAGGGAAATAAGTCCAAGCAAGTTTTAAAAAAACAAATATAAAATTAAAAAAATATAAAAACAATATGTCGAGAATTAACAATAACAATAACAAAAGCATTAAAAAAAAAATGCAAATTGAAGAAAAAAGGAATCAAAACAAACTAATTCCCTCTTTAATAATTGTTTTTCGTTTATAGGTTTTTAGCTATAGATGGTGAGTAAAATTCTTCTGTCCGTTAATTTTCTCAGCGTTTTCTATCTTTTAAATCGCGATTTTTTAGAACTTTATTTCAAATGGAATCCATAGTTCCTTTAATTTCATCATATCAAAGCAAAAATGTTCAACAATTTAGGAATGAAATGAGAATGTAGATGGGTGCGTGTAGCCTGTAGAAATATTAACTTTAGAAATTTTTAAGCAGACACGGAAGTTCAGCATATTAAATTATCGGTAGCAGACTATACCTAGATCTGCTTTTTAGGACTGTTCCGGTCATATTGACATCCGTATGAAGACCCGACCTGTGAACTGGTCTCGTCCAGACTAGTCCTTGAGAGAGGTCTCGTCCAGACCAAACCAAACCAGACCCATGGACAGGTATATTCTTAACCATTCATGAGGACAGGTCTGCTGCAGACCAGGTCATTTGACAGGTCAGCTTTTGACATGTTTAGCACTTTTCATACCAGACATGGTCTTTTGGTAATATAAGCGATAACCCTCTTTTTCTATTTGCCAGTACAGAAAAATATTAAACTCTATATACACACATATTGTACTTCTTTGTCTTTCATGAACACTCTTTTAACATATGGCATGGTTAAAATCTCTTTGTTCTTGCTGTTCGGTTAACTAGGACAATGCACAGGTTAGATGTGCATTAACTTCCAAGATAACTGCACAGCACGATCAAGTTCAACTCTATTAAGAATATTGAGATGAATTCAAAAAGTACATCGAGACGACAATGTCAATAAAATACCTCAGCTACAAGAAAAACATGTTTTAATGATTTTTATTGTTTGACTTTAAACGGTATATTAATCATTAAAACAACGTTCTTAACTGAGGGTCAGAAGTGTCTTTTTTTTCTAACAAATATTCATATTTAAAAAAAAGTTCAATCACCACGAAATTGTTAATTCATAAACATATTAAACACGCAGTTTTAAAATTAACCATGCACTCTTCCTCCTTGTGATACATGCGAGGCAACACAATCTTCGAATAAAAAGGACCACTTTTTTCAATGGCATCCAAATACTTTCTGTAATTATATAAAAACAACATGGTGTTGAGGAAAAATCTTAAAAATTTCAACAAACGAAGAAATCGATGATAAACGATTGAAATAGATTCATAAAACATATTTAAAGCTAACAAGTTGTTATTGTTGGCATTTTGTTTTTGTATAGACCAATGGAAGTAGGTTCTTAATACTAATGGTATTGAAGACTTGATCACTTGATAGGCCACTAGTCAAAATACCACGTTAAGATAGTCTGTAAGATAAATTCCTTACATAATGTGCTAGTAACCTAATACGATATATATGGGGTCAGTAAATTCCATATGGTGATTCAAGCTTCGCTCTCACCCCATATGGAATTTACTGACCTCATATATATTGTATTAGGTCACTAGCACACTATGTAACTAATAATTCTCACTCGTTATGAAACCTTTAAGTATCAAATATAAATACTAAGTTTCAACTTAATTACAATACATACCTTGAGGTATTATTTTCAGTTTAAATGAAGATGTCTTTGCTTCTCCTTTATCATATATCAAAAATGCAAATATATTTTCCTGCATTTTCCACTCTTGTGATCTTTAAAGTCAGAGATGGAACATCAGTGACACCTCCACTGTACTGTTCATTTAAGTTAAGATGATAGGTAATAAATATCTTAATTATCTGAAATTAATATGTACAATTAAGAGTGAAAA